TCTAGCTTGTCTCGTACGCTTCTTACTTGTTCATCGATACCTCATTCTAGTTATCATTAACGCTACTAATACTACCTGCAGCAGCAGATCATACAACAACAGCACCAGTCACAACAACAACAGCAGCAGCAGCAGCAGGTGCCACAACAGCAACAACAACAACAACAACAACAACAACAGCAGGTGCCACAACAACAACAACAACAGCAAGAAGAAGCGGAGACACAGGTGCCATTGCCATATCAGCAGCTGCAGCAGCTGCAGCAGCGACTGGAGCTGCAGGAGCAACAGCTGCAGGAGCAGAAGGAGCTTGTGTCACAACAGACGCAGTTGTATCAGTCGCTCTTGCCAATCATCACGCATCAACACCAACACATTCAGCAGTTGGAAGGACACGTGTTGAAGCTGAACAAGCAGCAGCAAGAGCTTTGCGCCCACATCAATAACCCTGCTCAGTACTTTTCCGCCAACATGGCGCACTTGCTACGTGGCGCCCTGCCGAATGGTGGACCTCCTGCGCCCTCTTTCTACCCCCCACCTCAGGAAGAACAGCAACAACAACAGCCACAAGAGCTGCAGCCACAGCAACAACAGCAGCAGCAGCAGCAGATGCAGATGCAGATGCAAATGCAACAGCAGCAGCAGCAGCAGCAGCAGCAGCAGCAGCAGCCCCATGACAGCTTCGTGCCCGACCGTCTCTACCTCGGCAGGCACAAGAAAAGGCGACCACATCTGGTGACCAGGGTACGCGATGCACACCGCAGACAACAACAACAACAACAACAACAACAACAACAACAACAACAACAACAACAACAACAACAACAACAACAACAACAACAACAACAACAACAACAACAACAACAACAACAACAGCAACAGCAGCAGCAGCAGCAGCAAGCCCCTGGATTCGCGATACCGGTGCACCAGGAGGAAAGTGTTGATGGAGGCCTTGGTATTATGGATAACAATGAGCTCGAGCACGGTCGATGGCAACGGTTGCAGCTGCTAGTTCAACATGAGCTACAGTTGGCAGCGCAACAAAGGCACGAGCGACAACAAAGATGGGAGCAGCTGACCGTTCAAGAGAAGCAACAGAAGCAACAACAACAAAGGATGCAGCAGCAGCAGCAGCAACAACAACAACAACAACAACAGCAACAGCAACAACAACAACAACAACAACAACAACAACAACAACAACAACAACAACAACAACAGCAACAACAACAACAACAACAACAGCAGCAGCAGCAGCAGCAGCAGCAGCAGCAGCAGCAAAAACAGAAGCGTTATTCCTGCCAAAGGTGCTCTCGCAGCTTCGACACGAAGCGTGCATTGCAGAACCATGTAATGCGGCACGAGGGACTCTTACCGTATGGCTGCGAGGCCTGTACTAAATCCTTTCCCGACCTCTCTGCGCTGAACCTGCACAGAAAAACGCACGGTCTCGACCCATTGTTGCCGCTCACTGTGTGCACGATTTGCCCCCGCCACCGCGATTGCCGCACTGCTAGTGGCTTGGCATCACACATCCGAAAAGCACACGACAACAAGGTGGATCTTGCTCGCCAAAAAGTCCAGTACGTTCAACAGCAGCAGCGCCAGTTGCTGCAAGATCAAGAAAGAGCACTGACCGCACAACAACTCTTCCAACAGCAACAGCTCCGTGAGCAGGAACGGCGGCAGATTCTCCACGTACAACAGCAACAGCAACAAGGGCTGCAGTCACCACAACCACAGCAACAAGGGCTACAACAAGGGCTGCAGTCACCACAACCACAGCAACAAGGCCTACAACAAGGGCTGCAGTCACCACAACCACAGCAACAAGGCCTCAACAAGGGCTGCAGTCACCACAACCACAGCAACAACAACAACCACAACAACCACAACAACAGCAACAACAACCACAACAACCACAACAACAACAGCAACAACAACAACAACAACAACAACAACAGCAACAACAACAGCAACAACAACAACCACAACAACAGCAACAACAACCACAACAACCACAACAACAACAGCAACCACAACAACAACAGCAACAACAACAACAGTCGCCAAGCCTGTGCATGGTCGACGTAACCAATCCATCCAAGCGCTCGAAGACGAACGACAACCAACCCCCACCTGTTTCATGCGACATGACTCCAGCCATTGCAGCCGCGCCACAACCTGGTTCGTTGCCAGTGCTCTCGTGTGCTCTGTATATTGCGTGCGTGTGTGTGTGTGTGTACATGTGCGCGTGCGTCTTGTCGTCTGTACACTTACATGTGAGCTCGCAACCATACACACACTCTCTCCCTGCTTCGCATGCATACCATCACTCATACTCACACACACTCACACACTCTCTCACACACACTCACACACACACACTCACACACTCGCATGCTCACACTCACACACACACACACTCACACACACACTCACACTCACACTCACACACACACACTCTCTCTCTCTCTTTTGCTTCGCATTCATACCATCACTCATACACACACATACACACACACATGCACGCGCTCACGCTCACACACTCTCTCTCACACACTCTCACACACTCTCTCTCTTTGTCTGCTTCGCATTCACATCATCACTTACACACATACATGCACACGCTCACACACACGGACACACGCTCTCCTTCGCATTCACACACGCACACACACACGCGCGCGCTCATACTCACGCCCACGCACGCACGCACGCACACGGACACGCGCTCTCCTTCGCATTCACATCATGGCTCACTCTCTCGCGCGCATGCACATACACACATACACGCTCTCTCTTCCTGCTTCGTATTCACATCTTCACTTACACACATACATGCACACACGCACGCACGCACGCACGCACACGCACGCACGCACACGCACACGCGCACGCGCACGCACACCATCTCACTGTGTCCTCGGTTATGCTTGCGCTTGCACACCCGACCACAGGCGACGGAAGGAGACGGCGGCTGCAACCTCTCAGGCTCAATCTGGAGCGTCCACCGGAACGCACGCCTTCAGATGAAAGCGGTAACACTCTTGGTGTCCTCGTGCTTGTGCGTGCACACTACTCCGCTAGGGCATCACACTCACGTACTGCCACCTGTGGTGTATTGAACAGACGACCTGCCCGTTGCACTCAGCCACCCAAGCGAGTGAACGCCAGGCTACCAGACGAGGTGAGATGATGCCCGATGGCGGGAGTGGTGCGTGTGCAAGTGCATGCGACCTGCGCCCTCACCACGCTCACTGCGCTCGTTTCCTGCTATGCTTCTCCTTTTTGCATGTCATATACACGCGTGTGTGCTGCGCAGTGTGCTGCG